TGAAACTCTGAGAACAGAGGATGCAATTCTGACCAAATCAATCCATAGCAAATGAAAAGGAAGAGTAACATGAGGAAAGTATAAAAGATAATTTGAAAAGCCTAGGTAAACAGTCTGCTCTGCTCATATTTCAGCAACTATGCATTTTTAAGGGGTAATTTTTTCAGGATACTGTTTTAGTGTAACAATAATGATCAATATTGTTGCAGATTTCCTTTGAAGTAATATCAATACAATATATTTTCATTCTCCAGTAAAACCAAATAAAAATGAAATTTTAAATAAATGATATTTTCATATTACTTTTCATGTAATAAACAGTGAATGATTCTTCTCTCTTCATCTCACCAGTTGAAATATGGAGCGACTCTAGTGAAGTCAAGGGAGATGCACTACACCAAGTGATACAAATTTCAGAATAATTAGGCCCAAAATACTGTTACTTCTATTAAAACCCCAAATCAGCCTCAGCTCCACTTGCCAAACAGGAAAACTGGCCAGAATACTTCACAGTCAAACAACAACAAAAATACCCAAACTCTATAGATTATTTTCATCCTCTCTGAACACAAGCCATACAAATGGAACACATACATATTTGCAAATAATCTTGTAAACAAAATATACTTTTTTAGATAACCCAGATCCCTTCTGTTCACTTACTCTGGACCACAGCGGTAACTCATCATGTATGCATAAAGTTTTCTAGAAACCTAAAATATTGCATATACAAAGGAGTGCAAGTAATTACCTGCAGAGTAATCTATATGGGAAATGCAGCTAATACTGTTCAAAACAGTAAATTCATTACAGGTTAACATTAGAAGAAAACAAATGAGCCAAATATTGCAGAATAATAGGTGGGAATGTTAGAAATTAGTGAAGTGTCATAGTGGTTTTAGAATCACTATCCAAAGTAAGCAAACATCCAAAGTACCATACCTGTTGCCACTGCGAGAACACTGCCACTATGTGCTATGGCACATGTCTTTGTTAGAAGGAATATATTACTCGATACACATTGTAATTCCACAAAGAATTCTGTGTATCATGTCCAATGCCTTATTTTCACTGCTTTCTGTTATTAAATTATAAAAAAGAAAACATGGATTCTCTAAATGTACTTGACCAATAAATCTGACATAATATGTTTATATAGAATGATAAAATAGATATCTGTTTTCCAGTCTGCCCTATTCAGTTTCTTTATTTGCAGGAAATAAATCAAAACAGATACAAAGATAGATGAATGTACTCTGTAAATACCATTGTGAACTTCTGCAAAATTTATGTTCTTTGTATACGTACGATAAAAGAATACTGAGCATAAAAGTCTGTCAAAAAGCAAATATTTTTTTCTTTCAGTTGGGAAGCATGCTAGTATTTTATATAAGGTATAAACGCAAGAAGTCAAATGAACTTTTCTTTTGTTTTTTGTTACAAGAGGTATTTCTGAAAACAAGTTACATCACTATGGAATCGGATAGGTCTAACAGCAGCTTCCAGAACTAATGCCAGGATCTGGGCATATATAACAGGACATAGGCAGATGTATGAGAAAGGCCTTAAAATTTGCCACACCAAAACTTCCTATGGGCTGAAATGTGTCTGTCGGTCACTAATTGAACAGTCTTATGTGAAAAAAAGTTAAGACTGCTTCCCTGCTTTGAGGAATCGGCTAAAACATCTTCTTGAAGAAAATAATCTTGATCAGTGTCTACTTATTAGAAGCTTTTGATTAATGTATTTTTGTTTGTTGAAAGATCAGTCAACAGGTGGAAACAGAGAGGTTGTGCGGAAACAACTTTAAGAATAGTTTAAAAATGTTAGGAATTACATATGGTATATATGATCCTTTGAAGAACCTTACAATCTTCTGTTTCTGCCAAACCAAAATACTTTTAACCATACTAAAACTGTTAGGCTTAAGTTGATTCCAGTCTTTCATCAAGAAACTATGCTTCTTTGAAAAAATATAAGTTCTGTATAAAATGATTCATTATACCTTTTGGAAGCACTGGGAAATCATGTATCAGTAATCTCCAGGAGTTTTACCAGACATTTTCAATATTATTTTTCTCTTACTTAAATAAAAAAAAATCAAATCAGCTGCTCTTACTTTCAGATGGCAAGGCATGCCACTATATAAAAAGTTTACAAACAGCAAGCTGCTCTTCCTCTGATGACTCCTCTGAAGACAATAAATTCATGATCTGTACATGTTATGAAACTATCCACTATATAATACAAAGTGAGACCAAAGACAACAGTCTGCGAGGATTTGGAACTGTATCCTGATATATCATTAATGATGCCCATCATTCACAATACCCCTCCCTTCCATCATGAACTAATGCTGATTGATAATGCCTAATCTTATTTAAATTCGTTATATGGACTAAGCTGAAGAAATTATATTAAATCCTATGCAATCTCATGATCTGAGAATAGTGAAAGTGATACTCTAAACAGAACAGGATTTATTTTCCTAATTTAGCAGGACAGTATTGCAAATTCACTTTGTCTGAAGGGAAAAAAAAAGGTGAAAGATACATTGAATTAAAGAAACCAGACTTCACAAATACATGAAACAGCGATCTGAACAGTTTTTGTACAGCTTTTGGAGAGATCAGTTTAAAGAATAATCATCTGAATATATGCATCTCTTTATGGAAACTTAACATGGAAAAAATTTCCATAGATATTTAGCTTGTTTATTGTTTTCAAGGAAGATTTTAATCTATATTGCTCTATATGAAAAGCTTTCTTCATATTTTATCCATGGTTTATCAGCAAGCAGACTTTACACAGCTGACTGTACAAGGATTCTTTGCATCTTGTGACCATGGTGCAATAAATCTTAGTGTTATCTCAAAACAGAGGGAAGGACTGTTGAAGATAAGACAGGAATAAACCATGATTCCTCACAACAATGTTTTCAACAGTATAAAGCCTAAACAAAACAAAAAAGAGAACTGAGAAGGAACAATAGCTAATATTTTAGCTCTAGGCTAAATATTAACTCTAGGCCTGTCATTTGGGTAAGAGCTAAAAGCTTTACAGAAATGTTTCCCATACAAAATCAATTCATCTGGACATGTGAGTAGAAATACTGAATTTCATGCTGTCATTAACATCACATTGGCTTACCTACTTGAAATTATTTTGAGAGTTATGCATTGGATCAGGTCTACAACAAGTAGATATGCCTTACAGCATTCTGAGATTTTAAAGATACTCAAAAATTGCAAAAATTGTTTTGGGGTGTATGAAGAGGATTAGATGGGAATGATGAAAGAGCATAACTAAGGCTTTGGAATCTGATATGAAACTGGCCCATGGAGGTCAAAATAGCAAACAGCATTATCATGAAGTTGAAACATTAGTTGATGTTAATTTTCAAGAGAATAACTGGCACACAGCTAAAAGACTCTTCTAGTTAAAAAAATATTTAAACAGACATCACTGCAAGAATTCCAATTTTTAGCCTACGTTACCTCTGTCTCAAAGTCTATGAAATCTTTGGAATCTGTATAATTTCCAATGTTTTAAAATGTACCTTGTTTTGTGAATATTTGTTTCTAGACATTTTTCCTAATACATTTGCTGTACAGAAAAAACTGATTCCAAATTTTCAGTCATATATCCTTTTCCTACTTTCAGCAGTACATGAACACAGATGAACTGCAACAGAATAAAGGTCCACTTATTCAAGAATTATAGTTCTATTAATAAAAATTATTGCTGGGTATTGAAAAATATTGGAATGGAACCTTGTTGCTTAATTGTAAAATGCCATGCTTATCAACATTCTCTAAACATGAATAGGATGACTTAGTTAAAAGATATGTTTTCTTTTAAATAGAAAATATGAGTGCATACCTTAAAAAATTTTCATGATAGACAAATATCTGACTAAAGTTAGTCAGATGATGATAATGCTGATTTGCCAATGAAACCTAACAGAAAAAAAGATCTAAGTTGTAACATGCTGGAAAACATTGACCTTAGCAAAAAGGCCTAGTTAAGATATTTTCTGTATCTACTTTTGACGATACTTGAGTGATATTTATTTTAATCATCTAGAATATTTTCTATTCAAAACATTATATCTGTTTACACCTATGTATAGGTGTAAACCGAGCAATAAACTCAGCCTTCCAAGAGCACTTGGTACCATGGACAGCTCCAGCTGCATCCTGAGTGTGTGTCGCAGCAGGAACGCGTCAGGAAAATTCAAGACGGCCGTTGATTTCTAACGGACCTTTCTGCTTTCAGTTTATAGCGGCATTGGATTGTTATTTCCAAATATGTAATGGTGGTGGTTATCCTAAATTGTTCATAAATGGAATCTGCCTACTCAGGGCAGCAGACAGAAAGATATTAAACACATCTAGCTAAACTCAGCTTTCACCTGAAAGTATACAAGTTGTCCCACCACAGTAGAATGTGGTTCTTGTGTATTCTTTCAATTTCTTGTGTACCATTATACAATGAGGAGAAGTAAGGCAAGGAAAAAATTCTGAGTATGTATAGCGTGCTAAACTACATATCTAATGATGCACTGTTACAATTGTGCTGTAGTAGTTCTGTATTTTTATTAACAGCAGAATGTTTCTCTAGTGTGAAATCCTTAGAAATTACTCATACCTTTTATTTAAAGAATTTGTTTATAGTGCAAACCTAAGCTTGAACACAACCATGTTTTCCCAAGTTAGACCTATTGTTTCTAGATCTTCAGTTTTAGACTTTCCTCCATAGTTGCCAAATGTTTTAAAAAATAAAGGAAGAGGTAGTCTGTGGTGAAATGTATTGTAACCAAATAAGTGAATTAAGATCCCTGAAATTTCATGATCAGGTAAGATGTACAGTCACCAAATAAAACAAAAGTTGTTTCTAAAAGCAGATTTTGCTCATTGATAGACATAATAATGTATTTTATGTGCTTTTCACAGTTATGCAGAACACTACTGTTGACACTGTTGTTTCCTCTCCTGCAGAGTCGAATGGCAGAAAGTTTGCGTCTCTTTGATTCTATCTGCAACAACAATTGGTTTATCAACACCTCCCTCATCCTTTTTTTGAATAAGAAAGATCTGCTGGCAGAAAAAATCCGACGCATCCCCTTAACAGTCTGCTTTGCTGAATACAAAGGCCAAAACACTTATGAGGAGGCAGCAGTCTACATACAACGCCAGTTTGAGGACTTGAATCGCAACAAGGAGACCAAGGAGATCTACTCACACTTCACCTGCGCCACTGATACTAGTAACATACAATTTGTCTTTGATGCAGTGACAGATGTCATCATTCAGAACAATCTCAAATATATTGGCCTCTGCTAAGAATCCTTGGGCTTAATCTGTTTTCCTGAAGGGATAAAAAAGGGGCTAACCACTTCCACTTCTAGTGGAAAAAAATGGGGCAATGCTTAGTAGCCCAAGGAGAGAAAAGGGGAAATCTGATGTATGTACACAGTTCCTCTTATGCCCCCTTAACCCGCTACATCATTTTTCAAAAATACATGTTCTGGAGAGTGAAGGCCTCCTCTCCCAAAAAACCCACACAACACCCCACCCCCAACCCCAGTAAAAAAAACCCAACGAACAACTCAAAAACCCCAAACGAAAACAAAAAGAGATTGAGGCCTAACTCTGTGGAGATGTTTTCACCACAGTCACTGCACTTTTATTCTATTTGTTTCATTCCATTTCCTACAGTGGGAGTGTTATCATGTTCTATGTAAGAAATAATTCTTCATCCAGTTGTCCTAAAATTTTACTGACGTGAAGATATAAAGCTGGTGACTGATAGATTAAGTCATTTGCAGGGTGTGGAGAGAAAAGCTAGTTCAAACCAGAAGCTACAGAACAGGAGAGTTTAAGCAAAATACTACTTAAATTTGTAAAGAATGGGCATGCACCCACAATATTGGTACACGCAGCCAAACAGTATATACACATACATCATGTATGCACATGCACATGACTCACAGCATATACTATGTACACACTTCTGCTTTACTTTACTGTTTATCATGGACACCTTGCCTGTTAAAGGAATTGTTGGTGCGTAACTGTTCTGTGATTTCCAAACTGACTAGCAGCTCTTTTGGCTCTTTAAGGCTTCAAATATGCAGCAAAACTACATGAAATGAATCTATGAATAGGCCAAATCAAGGTCAGTGTTTCTTCTACTGGTAAGGAGTTTTATACATCAAAACAGTCTTCTTTTACATCTTTTTTTGCCAAATCTTGTGGTGTTTCATAAAAACCAAACTATATTTAAGTAGGTTAGTGTTCCTTTTTTAATACAGATAGAAAAAATAAATCACAAAGCAATTTTTTAAATTATTGTTGTAGTGTCTGGATTGCTGAATGTGAAAGTTGCCAACGGACAATTCTGTTCCACTGCTCCAAATACATTCTGGGAATTGTAATATTGTAACAGATTTCCCAAGAAGCAGGAGCCATGGAGATTGTGTAGTATATAGCCTCCAAAGTCTTTTTTTGTTGTTTTTTTTAATTATTTTAAAAATGTGATGTATTATTAGAAGGTTAAAGATGAGCGATATGAACAATAACTAAATGTCTTGATATTTCAATTTAATAATTTAAATTATTTACAGTTTAGTGAAGTTAAGGAAACTGAAGAGATGCATTCCTCAGCTCCAGGTTTCATCTCATAAAGAAACACTACTGGATGGAGTAACATTCCGGCAAAAGTTTGAATGCATAAGAAGCTCTGTGGGACTATACTGGAAAATCTCAAATGGATCATATAGACCTAAGCCTTTGGTCAGTTGATTCTTTCCCCTGCCATAGAAAAGACTTCTGAAAGACTTCAGTGTAAAGTTGGTGTGTAAATATATGTTTGATAATTGTAAAGCACATATGTACACAGAAACACAGACACACATGCACACTGGAAGATAACCTTCTACTTTTGTTCCCCCTATGTACTATGATTAGTGCAAGAAATCTCAGCCAAGGGCTCTAAGAAATTTAAAACAAAATGGTTAATAACATCAACATTTAAATTGTCCACTTAAAAAAAATAAATAATACAAATGATATGGAATGTGTCTATAGTGTGTTCATTAATTAGTGTTATGACAGTTACTTAATTGGATGTTTGTGAAGTTTTCTTTCCTTTATGACAGACTGCTAAGTTTTGTTTATTTGCTCCAGATCTTTTTCCTCAGTTTATTCACCAACATGCAGCAGTTTCAATCTTAAGCAATTACATTTGAGCAACTCAGCAAGATTTAAGGGATGTGCTCCCATTTAGCATATTTACAAATTCTGAATGCATGCTATTGTTATATTTTGGGGGGAGACGGTTAGTAGCAATTTTAGGAAAGAAGTTTTAGATCAAGATCTATAGGAAATACCAGGAAAGAAACTTCCATAGTATCTGCAAGATACATAAGAAGCCTACCTGCATATTGTCTTACACAAGTAGGTACTTTGCACCGATGTCTATGCTTAGAAATACATGTCTAGGTATAAGAACATATACAAATTTTTGAATAGCACCTAAGATGGTATCCCAAACCTGTATTTAAAGATTGAAAAAAACTTGAAAAAATATGTTCACATCTTTGTACTACTGAGCTCTCAGCAAGTCTCCAAAATCAATCCGAAATACTGTCTGGCTCATGCTTGTGAAAAATTAGACATTAAGAAAAATCTAAATATTTTTTTAAAGTGACCATATAGGGTGATCTATCAGCATAAGTCTTATTGATGGTTTTTCATTTAAGTTTTCTTGAAAATTCCATCCATTCAGACTATAACAAGGTTCTTCTAGAGCATCCTCTGAAATATTTAGAAGTCTGGATGTACATTAAGAAAAGGTGCAACTCTTGTACAAAAGCATAACCTCATAAAAATCACTTGTTAGAGGATGCTAGATAAATAATATCCCTGGAGTTTAACCAGAATTTGACTTAGGACCTTTCACCCCATTAATCATTTCTGAGACCAGCTGAAAATATTTGATAGTGCTTGGATAGTTTCATTCCTTTGCTTCTCAGCATTTCTACAAAATGCATCAGAACATCCTAATCTTTCTTACTTTAAGTTTAAGAACCCTTCTTTTGACCTGTTTGAGGATACCTAGATTCAAGGTAGGATTTTTCTAAGTGACCTGGAGACTCAAGCTAATGATGAGCTGGGACTGCCAAGACAACTACAATACTCTTGAAGGTAGTGGTTCAAGCAATAGTAATTTTCAACCTTGCTAGAGAATGCAACCATAACAAAAAATATTTTCTGAGGCTCATGTCATGGGTTAAGACTTTGAAAACTCTTCAGTCCAGACATAATCAATAATGGGGAAAAAATCTGTCTAATTTTGAAGGAGGTATTTTATCCCTGTACTGAAAGACACAGAGCCCCTTTAAGCACTCCCTGTCAACTGTTACAGCTGAATAATAGAGGCAAAAGAGCCAATGAGGCTGCGCCTTGAGGTATAAAAGGTTGTCATGCCACATAAGGCATATTTAGGTCTTACTTGTAATGAGAAGATACTATTGCCTCCTTGTGATATTTGCTGTCAGGCTGCTTGACTTGGTGAGTTTACTAAAAGCTAAATGTGGTAACTGCTAGTACAGTCTGTAGAGCTAGTACAGGATCCTCTAAACTTTGTTTACCATTAAAGTGCTATCATTTACTTGAGAAATTGCGTGGTATTCCTAGCCTAAATTGCTTTCTGTAGTGTAATATCCTATTATTATCCAGTTGAATTGTGAAAAAGGTATAAAATGAGTCAGAGCTTCCTTTTTCAATGAATGGACTATTAGATGTTATGCCTCCTTCAGTTCTAGCTTTCATGGTACTGTGGCCATTTCAGACTAGTGAAAGAAGTAACAAGAAAACACCTGCATTCATTAAAGCATAGCTTCAAGGTAAGAAAGATGAATAGGAAAACTAAAACAAAAGTGTAGTCAGTTAGGAGGAGGGTAAGAGACATTTTATATTAAAAAATTAATCTTTATTTAGCTAAGACAGTCCTTCCAACATAAGCATTGCAGGCAACCTACAATAGAAGTGGCAAACCTAGGATATTTTAGCAAAGGCCTAAGGGTATTTCTGAAGAAAAGGAGTCAGTTATATTTCTTATTGAATGAAGGCTATCTTGGGAAGGAGGAAAGAAATTGAAGCACTGCCATGTGTTCCTACTTGGCTTAAGAAAAGTATAGGCATGGGGAGGAATAAAGCAGTAAGTAATTAAGTTTAAATAAACAATTCACATAATCATGTTCTCTGAATAGCAATTCCTTACTATTAACACTCTAATCATTTAATTCTTATGATGTTTTTCATCTTAGTATTCTGAGTAACTCATGGTTACTCTTTTCTATCTGAAGAATTCAAGATGTTAAAATTCTGTTTTACACAGAAGTAAAGTGATTGTATAAGAAAACTGAGGCACAGGGAAGTTAAAACTAAAAAGTCTTGGCCAAAGACAGGTGCTGAAATGAAATCCCTTGACTCTTAGTTGTCCACCTGGGTAAATCATGCAATTAAATTTGCATCTATTTTCTCAGTTCTCAGGTTTATCAGTGATGCAGTGCACTGCCACCTGAAAACTGCATTAATACAGCTGGGATTTCACTTCACCTGGGCAACAATGACATTCACAGAAGAGATGTTCCATCTGCTGCAATAAGAATGCCATCTGTCCTTTTATCATTTGCACTCCATACAGCAAAACAAGTTTCAAAGGGAAAAAGGTATCCTTAAACAGTCCTTATCCACAGATGCAATTGGTTATGATTTTCCAAGGGTGGAATAGTGGAGACAGTGAGGGTCAGTAAAGTAGGAGAAATATTATCTCTTGGACTTTTCCCAAATAGAGGTTCTGGCAAGCTTAAAAATCCATTGCCCCATCCAATCCACCTCAATCTTTGTCTAAAAGGATTAAGTACCCATAAAAGACAGGACAGATGATGGGTAAGAACTATTAAACTTTTCCAGTATTAACCATATCCTAGTGAAAGACTTTTTTTCCTAGAACTATTTTTGCAGTTGTTATCACCCAGGTCATTTATCATTGCATAACACCCTTTCACTAACATTAAGTATTGTATGTCAACTAATTGTTTTCACAAAAAGTGAAAGTTTTGCTATTAATTTTTCCAATGTTCTTAATTTTCTCCTGCTGCTGGTTCTTCTCCCTCTTCTATCCTCCATTAAATACATATATCTATCTTATTTTTGCCTTTCTTCTGCCCATTAATTCTTGCCACTAAGTTGTTGGTTCTTCTGGAAATGTTACTCCTCAGTGTTCTCCCATCTTTGTGGATTTTCCCACCTTTTAGTTTTTAATGATCCCACTGTTCATGGAGGATACTGGTATACAAAAATAGTCTGCAAGTGGACTTGCTTAAAATAACCACATTTTCCTAAATTACTCCTGTTTGGAGAAAGACCAGGTGGCCTCGCATATTGCTAACTGGAGTCACTGACCACTTCCCACTTAACAAAAACTACACTTAATGCCAAATGCTTGTACAGCTTATGTTCCTTTTTGCCTAGTCTGGAACACACTGCTTTATTGGCCCTGTAAATTACCTCAGCTCTAGAAAACATCAGAAATCTATCTGTGGAATGGCATATTAGTTGCTGACTTCCTTCAGCTGATACAAGTTACACCCTATATCACTATCTGGATGTGAAGTGTAGAAGTGAATGCAGAGAGGAAGACAGTTTCTTGGCTAGCTGAAGAAGGCTGAATTACCAGGCAGAGACTATTTCTATACCTGTAATATGTCAAATGAATTATGTTAGGCCTTGTGACTTAACTACCTATTGGAAAATTTCTACTGTTCTCCCTGATAATTCCCTAAATTGTCTCATAACAAAGAAAACAGTTTTAGAACCTTTTTGTTTTTCTTGTAAGTAGCCATCTGTATATGAGTCCCTTCTACAGTAACACAATTCTGCTCAAGGAGTTATCTTCCAACCCTTAAATACAGGCGTGTATATTTTCATATATATGTTTATCTAAATAAAAAGAATACATGGCTTGGAAAAACACCTTTTTCCAAGGGTAATTACTCAGAGATGCTTTCACAGACAACATGCTAGTTCAGCTTCTACACCACTGATCTTATAGACTGTACACACCTGACAGGCTGAGGATCACAGGTTTTTTCTCTTCTTCCTCCACCCCACTCCCCCCCCCCCCCCCCGTCCCGCCCCGGGGGGGGGTGGGGTAAACAACGCCGTGGG